AGTGTGTTGTCTCTTTAAACGGCAGGAAGTATCGAGCCAACAGGAAGCCGAATCATGAGGACGTTCTGATCAACAAGAGCTGACTTAAACTGTAAAATCACCGGCTTTCTCCTCACATATAACTCCCAGTCTGAGGTACGTGGAGCCGGGCGCACTGTGCGTAAAAGCTCGGGCCGTTGAGCGTGGGCCTGGTGTTTTACACCGGTACAGTACATAGTACAGTAGAGGAAAGTGCCTGCTCTTCTCTGTGCCATGGTCCACCTGCATTCATTGACAACCTTGTGCAGTGTCGTGCACACTGCGGACTGCTCTGATACACTAACCAAAACACCCAGTATTATTATCCTCTTACCCGAAGCACTTGAGTTTGGTCCATAGATCAGGTGGATTTCTTTGTTTGGCTCAGAGCCACTGACGCCACAGATCTGTAGCTCAGTGTGTAGGTCATGGATCTATTAAAATAATATAGTATAGGTTTATTACTAAGATATCTAGCGGCACCGTGGTTGGCCTTTCAGTCCGGAGTTTGCTTGCTTCCCTCTGGACCTGGTGGGTTCCTTTCTTGCACTCCGGTTTTCCCTTTTAACCCAATACATGCACAGTAGGTCACATCCTGCAGCTAAAATAGTCTTGAAGAAGCACAAGATGTGGAGATGATTCCACTGCTCCTGACGGGTTGCTCCGTGGGCACTGAAGAATGGGTCAAATGCAAAGAGCATATTTCCTTATGGTGGCAATAAAATGAAATGCCAAAGACATATCTTGAGAAGGCACCCTGTCCAGTCTGTAACATTCAAATTAACTGAAATGTCAGTAATAGCTTCATGTTTTTGCAGGAGGACGATCCTGCACTGAAGACAGCCATGGTAAGTGCTTCAGATTCAGATTCAGAAAACTTTATTGATCCCATAAGGCAATTCATTTGCAGCATCTCCGAGCAAACACAAACACAAACAAACACACAGTGTGTCAGTCCAATTGTCGTCCACCAGTGGAACTCAAAATAAATAACAAATTGCAGAGTAAAACTTTCATAAAACTATCATAAAACTATCATAAAACTGTACCCTTAGAATTTAATAATTTAATAGCACTGGGCACAAAAGAATTAGAAAACCTTTTGGTTTTCCGTACTGGAGCATAAAACCGACGCCCTGAAGGCATCAGGATAAAATCAGGAGCCAGAGGATGGAGCGGCTGAGCCAGGAGACCCTTGGCTTTGCTCAACACTTGCTCCTCCCACAAAGAGTGCAGATCCCTCAGTTTGATCCTGTGATTTTAGAACAGGTTTTAACAATATTGTCAAGTTTGTTTCTATCCTTCACAGTCAAGGATTCAAACCAGCAAATAAAAGAAAAAGTAAGAAGACTTTCAATAAAAGAGCAATAAAAATTGTTAAGAATCATTTTGTTCACGTTAAAAGCGTTCAGTTTTTTCAACAAATATATTCTTTGCTGCCCTCGTTTGATGACGTTTTCAGTGTTTAGGTCAAATTTCAGTTTATTGTCCATCACGGTACCCAGATATTTATAGCTATCAACTATTTCCACATCATCACCGTGGATGACACTAACACTGTGTGAAGGTGCACGTCTAAAATCAATCAGCATGTCCTTAGTTTTGGCAACGTTCAAATCCAGGTAGTTTTCCTCACACCACTGGACAAACTGCTCCAGTGCAGGACCATGATTTCTCTCAGATCCTGAAAGCAGCGACACCAGGACCGTGTCATCTGAGTATTTGATTAGGCGTCGATTTTACTCTGAGGATCTGCAGCTGTCCATGTACAGAATAAAAAGGAGAGGTGACAGTACACAACCCTGAGGAGATCCAGTGTTGGAGATGGAAGGAGGAGACCACCAACTACACTAGAGAACACCACACATCACCCCATTCACATTTATTTTGTCTGGGATTGGAAATTTAATATTGTGACAAAAAAAATATGATTTTCTATAATAAAACTAAGTTATGCCACTGACATAATAACTCAAGAGCAGATTTATACCACAAAAATGATCCTAAATCCACATTTATATAATGAGCCGCAATAAAAAAATAACAGAATCAAACACTTTAAAAAGCCATAGAAATTATTTATTCAACCTTTTATGGCCCAAATCTTATAGTATAGCCAAAAAATAACCACTAATATGCCAGTAGTGCAATGAAACTGTACACACAATAAATACTGAGCCCCCCCCCCCCCCCCCCCCCCCCCCCAAAAAAAAAAAAAATGTGGTGCCAAATGTTAAATATTGAACATGTCCTCCACATGCTCATGTTGTGCTGTTGTGTGACTGCACAGTCTGCGGCAACGGAGTTGAAGACCAAGGAGGAGAAGGACGCTGAGCTGGACCGCAGGATCGAGGCGCTGCGCAAGAAGAACCAGGCACTGGTCCGGAGATACCAGGTGAGAGGTCACACCAGAGTTAGGACTGCAACCATTAACCTGAATAATCCTGACCAGTGTTTCCCATGGGGCACTTTGATGGCATTTGTAGAGTTTATTGCATATATTTAAATTTAAATAAAAATTCTTTAAGCCCAGTGTAGTTACTGTGAAATGTTTATGATAAGATAATGGGCAACAATGTGTGACTTTTGGGATGCCAATTTATAATCCAGGTTGTTTATACTATGGGGGAGAATTTTAGACTACTGGGGAAACACTGTGACTAGTCCTCTTTTAAAACAATTGTAATATTTTTAATTGTAATTGTTATTTGGATTCTTCAGACTTAAATCACATGCCAAAAGACCAAAGACAGCGGTATTAAATTAAAATGTGAACAAAATACACTGGAATCATCTATCTGGAAGCCTTAGGATCACCATATTTCAAACAATTTCGTTAAAAGCAGAGGTGGGTAGTACTCAGTTACAATTACCTGAGTCTCATTTACTTGATAAAAAAAGTACTTTTCAAGCTGTTTACTTTTACTCTTACTTGTCATGAGTAACATTTCTTATTTAAGTAACAGTACTCTTTGTGTCTGTCTTTTGAAAAGACAAGATTTTGTGCATTATTTCATGTTCTGTTCTTTAAATTACATTAATTATGGGGGTGATGCTATGATTAGGGGTATATTTCATGTCTACTCAATGTATTTATCAATTGTACAATTATTTCCTCAACCCAATGATAGTTTTTACATTGAACCATCAACTTCTCTTTGGATAAAATTAGGGGACCTGGTAGCAATATTGATTATTGCAGAATCCATCAATTTATATGGTGAAAACAGCCTTTTTTGCTTGTCCGCTTTCACTTAATTTATAAACCCCAAAATACATATGTAAGTATAAAATTTTAGTTTTTGTAACTTTCTAGAAGTTAGAAAAAAACTGATTATATGTTTTAAAACTTTTGTGCCCATCATTTCGTTGCAACCCAACACCAAAGGACTTCTCTTTCACACCACAACATTCAGCATTACCAACCTTGTCCAGTCTGCTAGTTTACAGTCACCACTAAATGAAATTAAGTGTATTTTGATCTTCCTTGGACCTTTTAGCTCTAATACACATTACAATACCAAATATTGGTACAGATGTGGACAAAATTGTTGGTGCCCCTCTGGCAATGAAAGAAAAATCAACAATCGTCACTGAAATAACTTGAAACTAATAAAAGCAATAATAAATTTAAAAAATACTGAAAATTGTCCAACAAAACTCAAACATTGCTTTTCACCTGTGGTTAAACAGAATTATTAGAAAAAAAAAATGAAATGAAACTGGCCTGGACAAAAATAATGGTTCCCCTAACGTAATATTTTGTTGCACAACTTTTTGATGCAAACTTTGCAAACAAATGATTTCTGTAACTGTCAATGAGACTTCTGCTCTGGTCAACAGGTATTTTGACCCATTTCTCATGAGCAAACTGCTCTAGTTGTCTCAGGTTTTAAGGGTTCCTTCTCCAGACAGCATGTTTCAGCTCCTTTCACAGATGTTCAGTAGAATTGAGATCTGGACTCACAGAAGAACACTCCAGAACAGTCCAATGTTTTGTTCTTAGTCATTCTTGTGTGTTTTTAGTTGTGTGTTTTAGGTTATTATCCTGTTGGAAGAACCATGATCTACAACTGAGACCAAGCTTTCTGACACTAGGCAACACATTTCGGTCCAAAATACCTTGATAGTTTTGAGATTTCGTTGTACCCTGCACAGATTCAAGACACCCTGTGCCAGATGCAGCAAAACAGCCCCAGAACAAAACCAAGTCTCCTCCATGTTTCACAGTAGGGACAGTGTTCTTTTCTTGGTGTGTTTCATTTTTGCATCTGTGAACATAGAGCTGATGTGTCTTGCCAAAGAACTCCAGTTTTGCCTCATCTGTCCAAAGGACATTCTCCCAGAAGCTTTGTGGCTTGTTAATATGCATTGTGACAAATTCACAATTCTGGGCTCTTTGGTTCCATTCGTATGATCCATCTCTTCAATTTCTTTTGCCACGTCCAGGGAGGTTGGCTTCAGTCCTGTGGACCTTAAACTTGTGAAGAACATGTGTAACTGTAATCACAGGAACATCAAGCTGCTTGGAGATGGTCTTATTGTCTTTATCTTTAACCTGCTTGTCTATTATTTTCTTTCTAGTCTCCTGACACAGTTCTCTTCTTCTCTTTCTCTGGTCCATGTTCAGTGTTGTGTCCATCATGTCTCCAAACAGCACAATGACACATGTCCCCCTTTAAACAGACAGACTGACTGAGGACAAGTTTGAAGAACCTGTGATGCAGATTAGAGACACACCAAAGTTTAACATGGCCCTGTTGTCCAAATATTTACAATCTTTTCTAGGGGAACATCATTTTTGTCCAGGCCAGTTTCATTAGTTTTAATAATTCTGTTGAACAACAATTCAAAAACAGTGTTTGATTTTCATTGGTTATTTTTCAGGATTTTTTTTTATTTATTATTGCTTTTCTTAATTTCAAGTTATTTCACTGACTGTTGTTGATTTTTCTCACATTACCAGAGGGACACCAATAATTTTGTCCATGTCTGCATATGTAAATGAAGGTGAGGGCTGCACAAACTTGGGAAATAGGTACGGTAATTGCAATTTTTCTCAGAATCCTTGTTATTATAATTTGATTTGTGATCCATGTTTAAATAGCTTAATTTGCTTCTCTTTTTTTTTTGGCTTTCTACCATGTTATAAAATTGCTCCCTCATCAGATAAACATGTCTGAAGAGGTTTTAGATGTCATCCATGCATGTTTGAGTATGGTAATCTACTGATCTCTCCTGGCCCTATTCAAACCCTCTGTACAGTTTGCTGGAAGATTCTATAAAAGGGTCTGCCCACAAACCTATGTCACCCATGCTCCGACACAACAATTCTCCCTAAATAAACAAATGCATGATACAAAACTATATACACAGTAACGTAGTGATCTTAATATGTTAGGGTTAGCAGTTAATACCCCCTATTAAAAGACACCCAGGAGCATTTAACGTTTGCAAAAAGACTGAAAACTCACTGAAAAACTAAGGCAAGAATCACATTTTAGAACATGTAGAGGTCTGAACTGAAGGGTTGGCAGTTTTTTAATAAATGAGAATATTTTTTGTTTGCAGAAGAAATTATGTTAATTAATGGTGACTTTCAAATTTCAGTTTGATTGCAATAAATCTTTCAACCATAATAAAAGTAAATATTTTGTGAATTCTTAGTTTGAATCTTTGACCTCCAGAATGATGTAAACCATGTCTGCTCTTTGCCCACACTGGACAGGAAATAGAAGAAGATAAGAAAAAAGCTGAGCAGGAGGGCATTGCTGTGACAACCCCACGTAAGCCCCGCCCCCATGACCCTGAGCTGGAAAAGAGGAGGCAAGAGGAACAGGAGAAGAGGAGGCAGGAGAAGGAGAACTTCACGGTCACTGTGGACCTGTCTTCACCACAGGTCAGTTCCTCAGACCTGAGTTCCAGCCAGATGGAACGAAATCATTAAGAAGAATTAATGTGAAATATAGCTGAAAGCAGCAATGCGGAGGCCTTGCAGCGTAGTTACAGAATAGGCAAGAGCATGAATGGTAACACACGCACAATGAAATTTCATTTTTAATCCAAGCAGATCAATAGATATCCCTTAAAACAAGTTTCTATGCAGTTTGGTGTCAATATGAATGCATGTCCAAAATTAACCAGCTGGTGGTGCTATAGCTCTTGAGGTAGAAACCCAAAAATGACTGAAATTGATCATTGGCCTGGCCTGAATCAACGCGCTAAATTTCATAGCTTTATTCCAAGGTGTTCTAAGGGATACCCAAAAAATTCAACATGGCCGCCAAATGCAGATGGTCACGTGATAAACATTTTACGACACTTATCACCGAGTCAAATAGAATCAGCAGGCACAGGAATTTTTTTGGAAATCCAAATAGATCAAGAGATATCACTTAAAACACCTTTTTGCTAATTATAGCGTCCCCTAGAGGTTGAAGGTCAGGAATTTTTCTGAGGGTCTAGAGTGAGGGGTCCTGAGTCCAGGTATCAAGTTTGGTGTCAATACGTCAAAGCGTCTCTACGCAGGGAGCTCACTTTCTCAAGTTTAATGGCTCAAGTTTAATGGCCATTTGCCAGAAAACAAAGGGTTAAATGAAAAATCCATTCAAAGTTTTTTGTGACAATTGGTCTGAAGATTGTGTGTGCCAAGTTTCAAGAAAATTGGACAAAATTTGTGAGAGGAGATTCATTTTGAAGGTTTTTGGATAAACTCCAAAATGGTGGAAAATCCAATAAGATGTCATGGGGTGCATTCAACTCGTCTTGGTCCAAGAATTCCAAGCACACCTTGTTTGTGTTTGGACAAATGGGTCAGTAGTTATAAGCGTGAATGCATGTCCAACTCTGACCTGTTGGTGGTGCTAGAGCTCTTGACCTATTGACCCCAAATTGACTGTGAGGGACCATGAGCCTGTCCTGAACCAGTGTGCAAAATTTCACAACTTTTTACCAAGGCATTCTGTGGGCTGCCATAGACTCTCCAGACAGAAATATATAATAAGATTGCATACAAAAACAATGGAGTCCTGCAGCTACTCTGCAAGGCCTCCGATTCAAGTGAGACTAGACGTCCTAGACTAAACTCCATAAATGCTACATTGAGGGTTGTGTCATTAGATAATCTTCCTGCACATATTTTGTGAACAGAATGTCCACACTAGTTAATGACTCTACTATTTATTTCTTTAGTTGTAAAAAGGCTCAGTTAATCCGTGCAGTGAAAGGTGACACTGTCTGATTTGAACATATAGTCCATATTCCTGCAGTAAATGTGAGGCCACAGATACCTCAGCTCTGATGAAATGCTGTTTATTGTCAGATTAACTCACTAAACTCCTTCCATCATGTTGCATGTTGTCTTTTTTCCTTTTTTCCCCTTTTTTGTTTTGATATGGACAGACCATGAGTGTTTTTGACCAATCCACCTGTTAATCATGGCCATATGAACTCTGGGAGCTTCACAGGTGGCTAGACTCACGTCTTGGCAAAGTATTGAAGAAGTGTGTGTTCTGGATGCCAGGCTAATATTTTAATAGTGCAGTAGTGAAATTCAAATCAGAATTAGACAACACATACCATGTAGTTTAATGGGATGGATCTCACATTGCCAGCATATTGTGGGTGTGCGTGTGTGTGTGTGCATGTATGTATATATATATGTATATATATTATATATGTGTGTGTGTGTGTGTATGTATATACACACATATATGTGTGTGTGTGTGTGTGTATATATATATATATATAGGGGTGTCAAATTAGCGCGTTAATTGCGATTAATTAATTACAGTCATATTTAGCGCGTTATGTTTTTTAATCGCGTTAATCTCATTTTTAATCTCTAACTTTACTGTTTCTGTATGTGAGTTGCTTTACGATAAAACCTGTTTTTATGTGTTGTTGTCCCAACAACAACACACAACACACAAAAAAAACACATTTATACATTTTTTTTATTTCGGTAATTCCACTCATTGCCGGAAACCCACACAAAACGCGCGCAGTAACAGCGATCTAAACGTCATGTTCACGTTGGCGGCATCAATCGCACAATGGACGAGGTCGAAGAGCCAGTAGAACAGAGGCAGCAGTGCACACACACACAAACACACACAAACACACACAAACAAACACACACCTTCATCATCGTCATTAACCTCAGAACGCGCGGACCACGTTTCCTTCCGTAGTTACTGCGCGGACACCGACGTGCTCCCGTGCGCCGCGTGTGGACCATGTTTTCTCGCGTACGCTGCGTACGCTGCGTAAACTGCGCTTCCTCCTGTGCGCCTCTAAACCAGAACTAACACCAAGACTTAAACCAGGACTAATCCAGTCCAGGACTAAACCAGGTCTAAACAAGGACTAAACCAGAACTAAAACCAGAACTAAAACCAGAACTAAAACTAGAACTAAAACCTAGAACTAAAACCAGAACAAAAACCAGGTCTAAACCAGGTCTAAACCAGGACTAAACCAGGACTAAACCAGAACTAACACCAGGACTAAAACAGGATTAATCCATTCCAGGACTAAACTAGGACTAAAGCAGAACTAAAACCAGAACTAAAACTAGAACTAAAACCAGAACAAAAACCAGGTCTAAACCAGGTCTAAACCAGGTCTAAACCAGGACTAAACTAGGACTAAACCAGAACTAAAACCAGAACTAAAACCAGGTCTAAACCAGGTCTAAACCAGGACTAAACCAGGACTAAACCAGGACTAAAACCAGAACTAAAACCAGGTCTAAACCAGGACTAAACTAGGACTAAACCAGGACTAAACCAGAACTAAAACCAGAACTAAAACCAGGTCTAAACCAGGACTAACACCAGGACTAACACCAGGACTAAAACAGGATTAATCCATTCCAGGACTAAACTAGGACTAAAGTAGGTCTAAACCAGGTCTAAACCAGGACTAAAACCAGTGATCTCATATATAAAAGCATTTCTCTATCAATAATATTTTTAATATGGTTAAGGAAAGACTGGACTTTTTATTGTCTTTAAGTAGACAAAAGTTATTATGTTCAGATTTCCTCGTATTTGCTACTTTACAGCAAACAGTTTCTTATTCATGGAGACTTGGGCTCAACAGCCAAATTGGAGAGATTTGTTAAACAATAAATGACTTTATAAAGTCACTTTTTTTAATCTATATTAGTCTTTTTTTTTTTTTTGTAACTTTATTTTTAAGAAGGTTTTAGGGCATACAAAGAATAATGAAGAAACTATAACAATCAAGCAAGATTACATGTACAATCAACAGCTCCCATATCACGATTAATCGTTCATGGATTGTATGTAACAGTCCCATTTTTCCCAATGTTTTTCTCCCTTGTGTCGTTGTAGGCGGAGACCAAATGTCATGGTTTCCATTGCTCTGATTTGTCCGATAATTTGTCTCAGAAGTCCCATTGTAGGTGCCTCCTTTTTCAGCCAGCATTTTGTAATTGCCTTTTTCCCTGAAACAAGAATTATTCTAAATAGATATGCATCAGATTTACTTAAGCCTTCTGGGGGTACGCTAAGAAATAAGGTGAAGAAAGACAAATCAACTTGGAGGCCCAACACTGAGAACATTAGATAAACCACCTTTTTCCAGAAGTTAGTTATTTCTGGGCATGACCAGAATATATGAGCCTGGTCCGCCCTGACAGAGCCACACTCTCTCCAGCAGGGGAATTGAGTTGCTAAAATCTTTGACTTGCGTAACCGGTGTGATAAAAAAGCGAACCAGGCTCTTCCAACAGAAGTCTCTCCAAGTAAGTGAATTGGTAGTAAGGTTTTGAGATTTCCATCCCTCTAACCAGAGCTCCTCTGGGATTTCAATTGCCAAATCTTTATCCCATTGATATTTTACATGAAGATATGTCTTATTGTCGTTTGAATGTAAACCCTTATAAATTTTGCCTACAATATTTTTGGTACCAGACCCTTTATAAATATCTCTTATAATTTGAATTAAGTTGGAGAGATTTCCAGTCAGAATGGTAAATGGTCACATTTTTCTATAGCGCTTTTCCACCTTCAAGGCACTCAAAGCGCTTCCTTTACAAAATAATGACGGAGTTGAAGATATCTGAAAAAATCATGTTTGCCAAGTCCAAATTTAAGAGAGAGATTCTGAAAACTATCCATTTGTCCCCTGGAAATAATACTGCTGAATACTGTAATACCTAAGGGCAGCCACTGTTTAAATCTAGGGTCGTTTACTGCTGGTAGAAAGTGTGGATCACACGTCGGCCAACTCAGTAACTTGATTTGTCTCTGGAGGCCATACATCCTTACAACTTGTAGCCAAATATTAATACCTGTACCAACACAGAAATTCCCTTGCTGCAAAATTAATTTGGCACAGTCCACACAGCCAAGCACTGATTGCATTGGAGTATCAGACAGCGAGAACTCCATACCTTTCCATTTTGCCTCATAGGACTCATCACACCAAAGTATTAGTGACCGTAACTGGGCTGCAATATAGTAAGTTCTTAGACAAGGTAGGGCCAGGCCTCCCCTTTCCCTCGGCATCTGAAGAATAGAATATTTAATACGTGGTTTCTTGGAATTCCACACAAACCTAGATATACATTTATCCCATTCTCTGAATTGTGCCAGTGGGATCTCCACAGGCAATGCATTGAATAAATACAATAATTTGGGTAGAATTACCATTTTGATTGACCTAATCCTGTCACCAATGTCCAGAGGAAGCAAAGCCCACCTGTTCATCTCTCTCCTCACTCGCTTTGTGGTATTTGCATAGTTTATGGTAAGAAGTGAAGAGAGGTTTTTTGGTATGATTACCCCAAGATACTCAATCTGTGACAATTTCCAGTTAAAGTCATAGTCTCTAACTAATTCCGGGCTAGGAGTAAAATTGAATAAGAGG